CACACCATTTGTTGTGAACCAAACTTGAAAGTCAGAGAAACTGTTACTAGGTGGTTCGTAGAATTTAGAAGCAAAGTCATAAAAGTCCTTACCAATACATAGAAAACTATTGTTGCTTGAACTGAAACTTGCATGACACATAACATTTTGAGGGTCAAACACGTTTCTATAAACTGTCAAATCTGCTGGTGGAAGTATAAATTTAAATGGACCATCTGGTGGTAATGGTTCGTTCTGGTTTAGTAACCGAAGAAATTGTGCCCAAGAACGTTTGTCTACTTTCCAAAATAAAAACTCTGTATCTCTTGGAGGGTTAATTTCAATCTTTTGAAATGAAACGGTGGAGTTCATCTTGTCATATTCTAGTTTCAGATAGTATGTTCCATTTAGTAAAGAGTCGTATTTTTCTTGAAATTCCCAATAATATTTGTTCATTTGAGTTTGAAAGTCATTTAGAGTTTTCTCAAGACTTTCGTCTGAACGAACTGTAAAGATTCTCATTTCGTCAAATTTGTCTATTAGACCATCAGAACCTTTATACTGCCCATGAAAATATACTGCGAACATAAATGCGTTAGTTCTATTTGAAAACAAAACTCTTCTAAATCCTATTGCCTTTGCATCTGAAGGACTTTGAAGCCAACGAATTGGATAGTCAAACCTGTATGTTCGGGATGAAATTTCTTCATCTGATATAGTCCTACCAGCATTTGTAAAGATATAGTCTAATGGTTTTGTATCTGCTACTTTTGTTCTTTGTTTTTCAACCTGAAGCATTTAATATATGTAAAAATATATTGTTTTAAAATGGTATGCCATTTTATATTTCTCATCTAACAAACAAGTTTCCCAACGGTCTTCTCCAACAAACTCAGCGTACATTTCAAATAAAATTTAAAAAAATATTTTTTTCTTTACTTTACATAACCGCCTGCTGCCATAAGTCTTTGACGCCAACCCATACCAGCTAATGAAGGTTGACTTGGTTTAGTTTCCAAACTAAACTTTGGTTTTGGTTTATCTTCAGTTTTTGGTTTTTCTTCTTCTATCGGTTTTTCGTCACTTTTCGGTTTCTCTGACTGTACCTCACCTGCAGGAACAGTTGTGTCGTCAACATCTTCATAAATATCATATGCCATTTGTTTTTGTTTTCCTTTCAACTTTTTGTGTTTGTTGTAAAGTTTAGAATATTTCGACTCTAAGTCAATGAGATGTTCTATAATGAACTGTTGGTCAGTGAAGTAAACTTTTCCATCTGTTGTCTCGAAAGCTCCTTCAGACTTCAATATTTTATTTGTGAGAGTCTGTTTCTTTTTTGAGATACTAGCCGTTCCATTTTTATGAAAAGTGACTTTGTAGTTAGGGTTTGTATTTCCAGACCTGGCACTTTCTATTATTGAATTTTTCTCTTCATCTGTAAGTTCTTTGACAGGTTTTGACAATGGTTCTGAACTTTTTGTTTGTGGTGTCAAATCTACCGTTTCAACTTCTTCGGTCATTTCATCTCAGTAAAAAATTTTAGTTTGGTTTGTTTTCAACTGGTTGTTTAGGTTTTTTAAGTCGGTCTAAAACTTCCTGAGGTATAGGAAGAACTTGACAAACACGTTGTGTAACTGCTGGAAGCCGACAAATCCATCTTGAACCCATTTGTCTCAATGCTGTATTGTTCATTTCATCTCAGTAAAAAACTTTACATTCCCCACGTTTGAGGCGGTTGAGGTTGGTTATTGTTTACCCATTGTTGTGTATGGTTATATCCTCTGTTAAAGAATCTTTCACCTTGGTCCATATAGTGTCCTGCTTGGTTATAGTAGTCATTTGCTTTGTTATAATAGTTTCCTGCTTGTCTTCCTACATTGTCCATCCATCCTTGAACTTTTCCTCTTGTTTCAGGATTTGGAATAAGATTTGTTGCATCTCGTGCTACCTCCCAACCTTTCTGTACAGTTTGTATAATAGGTTGTGCTTTCTCTTTCAGTATACCTAATGTACTCAAAATCTTCCTTCCAATTCCAAATGCACCTCTGGCTATTGTTCCAACTGTGGGTAAAAATCTAGATGCGACTCCTGCTAATGCGCCAAATAAACCCATTTCTTATGGGTTAAAAAATGACGAATCCAAACAAGGACCCCTATGTTTCTAAGGCGACAAAGAAAGCACTCATGATAAAAATCTTTAGTTCAACACCAAATGCTTGGTTTATGGATATCTTGGAAAACATTCCGAGAGTTAGAACAGATGGACCACCATACTGGCTAATATTTGTCGGTCAAAACACAAGATACTGTGAAGCCATACCATTATGGTCCAAAAATATTTTAGATGTGAAAACTGCTTTGACAATATTCGTTGACAAATACCATCCAACAAAACTGACATCTGACTGTGAAAGTTCTTTCAAATCAGATGATGTAAAAAACTATCTGCGTTCAAAAAATGTAAACCAATATTTCATTGTCGACCAAAACCATTCTGCTCTTGGTGTCATTGACGGTTGTATAAAAATGTTAAGAGACTTAAACCAACCACAAGGTGGTGAAGCAAATGAAATGTCATATGACGACAAGTATAGACACTTCTCCCAGGCAAAGATGAGACAAGTTTTAAATATTTACAATAGCCGTAAACAAAAAGGTTTGGGAAACCACTCCCCCGAAGAAATGAAAAACAACCCTGACTTAGAGAAAGACTATATATTTAATAATTTAGTCAAAAGAGACAAACAAGAAAGAATGCCGGGCTTCAAACTTAAGAAAGGTGACAAAGTAAAAATAGAAATACCTAAACGCGACCCATATGAAAATACTATTGACTATGACAACAATGGGAACCCGACAGGTACTCACATTCGTGTTCGTAAAAATAGAAGAAAGTATACAAGAGAATATTATGAAATTTTAGGCAAACATGGCAAAATGTACACACTGCAAGCAGAAGATAAAACTACTATTGTCAGACCTCGTTTCAAACTTGTCAAAGTTCAAGGTGGTATACTTTCAAAGACAGTTCCTAACAAATATAAGACAACTCCTGACGAATATGCTAAAGAAGTTGAAAATGACGACTAAGCAATTCTATACCATGCGTAAACTGTCATGTAAGGTGGCATGTATTCTTTACCCAAGCCTGTTGGATTTGTTGTGAAAGTATGTGAATGATTTCCTCCTGGTTCAGTTGGTCGAAAAGTCTTTTTTGCTGAATGGTTATAATCTGGAGATAAAACGTCATAGCCAGCATAATATTCTGAGTTGTATAATGGATGGTCTCTTAATGAGTGACTATGGTCACCAGAAAAGTTTGTAGTTCCTGTATGAGTGTGCGGTGGAAGGTTTGCTTCAGTAATTTTCTTCGAACCTCCTGTTTCCTTTGAAGAGTTTGCACAATACAAAAACCTGTCAACTATTTGTTCCCATGCACCAACACCAAACATTACTTGAGGACCTCTTGCTTCCATAGATGTATAAATAGAACCTACAGGGTTCATTAAATCAAACATATGAGATATTATAGGATTGTCTCTTTTGAACTTAAAATATAGTGCAACTATTTCAGGTTTCTTCTGGTTTGTGTCAGAATATTTTTTATAATATAATCTTATGTTTTCAGGGTGGGTAAAATCTTGACTATAATATTTATTTCTGTCATCTATATAATAATATACTATTCTCGTTTTTTCTATTGCATTATATCTTTTATATCTATAATAATCTAAATATAATGTTTGCTTTTGTTCATCTACATGTGGTGTTCTGTCGTCATCTCCATAGTCATAATAATATGGTGCTGGAGCTGGGTCAGGCAATGTCATATCTGCCATTTCATAAACTCTTAAATATTTCTTTTGTTCGTCTCCATATAAGTTTAAGTAGCAGTTGTTGTCTAATGGAACTTTAACTTGTGTACCATCATTCTTTATATAGCTTACATACATTTCATTGTTATTTTTCGGAATGAGTTTACACCGTATACCATTTTTTAAGGAGTGTACCAATTGCCATCTAAAATATTTATTTTCTTCATAGACAGAAAAGTCACCAACAATAGTTTCAATATTTTTTGTTGTTCCTATCAAACTTTGGTATATTTCATTGACATATGTTTTATCTGCTTTATTTTCAAGGCTAAAGTTTAAGTCTGTTATTTCAGATATAGAATGTGTATGTCCAACGGCACTTTTCCTGTTTAAGGTTTCTTGTAAGTTTGTAATATTTGCAATAGTATGTGTATGTCCAACGGCACTTTTCCTGTTTAAGGTTTCTTGTAAGTTTGTAATATTTGCAATGGTATGTGTATGTCCAACGGCACTTTTACTGTTTAAGGTTTCTTGTAAGTCTGTTATTTCAGATATAGAATGTATATGAGTCTTTTTAGAATATTCGTTTTCAGCTCTTGTCACTTCACTTGACATTTTATTGTCAACATATGTTTTGTCTGCTAGTTCAGGATGAGTATGTTCTTTTGTTGCATAAGCATTGTTAGCTCTTTCTTCTTCTTTTGCTATTGCATCGTCTACATATTCTTTGTCAGCTTTGTTGTCAACATCTGCTTTCAAAAGAAGTTCATTTATAGGTTTCTCGTTTAAAGTTCCTTTTGTTGGATTTATACAGACAGTATTGTTCTTCTTGTCTTGAAATAGAAACTCATCTGTCATTGGGTTTAATGTCAGTTTTAAGTTTCCTTCTTTCAATGACTCAGATATCTTAGAATAGTTTGAAAAGTTTGTTGTGTTCTTATTTAGAGCTTGCATAATGAGTTGTCGGTTGTGTTGTATTTCTCTTATGGAAGCAATATCTTTCGACATTTTTATTCTAGATAAAATATGCTTTCAATAGAAAAAGAAAATTCTAGAGTTGCTACAACTAAACCATTAGATGAACTTTTTACTAATGTCGGTCAAAAGTTTGAGACAGAGACCGTAAAGCATGAAGGCTATCGTTTTGACTACCCATTAAGATGGCTAAGAGACCCATCTGTCACAAAAGCTATTGGCTTTCGTAGAATGAAGTTCATTTCAGAAGCCATACATGGTTTCCCATTTACGGTCGGTTTTGAAGTTCGATACTATAACAAAGAAAAACGTATGTATGAGAAATTTGAACAGGGAAAACTTTTACAAGTTAGTTTGCTTGTAAATTTAGAAACAACTCTTCAAGCTTTTCAAGAAAAAATAAACGATATCTATCTCGAATATGCAAACCAGTATAACATTGACGAAGGAGAATACCATCTCGATATTATTTATGACAGGAAAAATGCAACTGTTAAAATCAATAGAATAGAAGACCTTGGAGAAAACGTTTATATTTCTACAAAATATAACAACTTGGCATGGTATAGATTTATGAGGATGTTAAATCAGCCTGCAGCATATCCAGTACACCCAGACTTTTATGAAGTCGAAAACCCTAATGGAACATATGAAAATGTTTTCGACCAAGATGCTATTATTGTTCATGCTTCATTTTCTGGCGCCCAAAACTCTTTCTTATGTCTGATGAATGACTTTTACGAAAAACCTACAAAGTTATACGAACCACCAAGTGGAAGTATTTCAGACTTTCAAGTATGGTTTACTACAGATGGAAGAAAAAGAATAATTCCATTATACCATGCGTTTTACTTAGAACTTAGTTTCATATACAACTACTATCGAACGGTAAAAATATAATTTTTTAATACGGTTGAGGTGTTGGATTTGGTTGCCAACTAGACTGTGGTGCAGGTTCAGGCTGTTGTATAACAGGAGCTTGCTCTTCTGGTTCAGGGTCTTTAGGTATAATACCAACGAACTGACCTACTCTTTTACCAATATTTTTGACACCGTTCCAAATTCCTCTTCCTACGGTTTTTATTCCATTCCATATACCTCTTCCAACTCTTCTGAAGAAGTTTCCAATACTACTGAAGAAACCCATTTTACTATATGTAAAAATCTAATGTCCGCCTAGTCTCTTACGTTTCCTGTTGAGTTCCATAGCATTCTTTAACTGGAGCTCATACATTCTGTTTCTCCTCTGGTAGAAAACATATTCTGGGTCAACTCCTGTGTTCGCGTCATCTGCATAAAGTTGTTTATATCCCACTTCAGGGTTTGTATAAAACTCTTTCCATCTCATATTTGCATACCATGGTGGCAAACCTAACGCAGCGTCATTTGACATGGCAGTTTGCATTTGTACATCTGTTGGCACTTGACCATAGTTTGCCATTGCAGTTTGTATTCTAACTTCATTTGGAATATTCTCTGGGTTTGGTTGTCCAGGTTGCTGTGCATTCGCTAAGTTCTGTGCGTCCATTTAATATTAGATAAAAATATCTCTTACGAGTACATATACTGAACATTTGCAGGCATTGGTCCATCTTCATATTCTCTGTACTTTTCTGCCACGTCAAATAAATAAATGACACAATGGAAAAAACCTAAAACAAGTAGTCCTATTTCAAACCACATTTACTTACTAATAAAATTTCTTTGTTATGACACTTTCTCCGGTTTATAGGACCTCTCTCATATTCTATCTTGTCATATCTAAACTCATAGTCATGTATGTCCTCTAACCATTTCATGACACTTTCCAAACCACTTTTATCGGATGTAAAGTAAAAGCATGGATGGTTATGTATAACGTCTAAAGTTTCTAAAGAGTCTCTCAAAGTCCAGTCTACTTGGTATTGAAAATCCCATGTGTTAAAGAACGGCGGGTCCACTATAAAGAAAACATTTTCCTTGTCTTTATATTTTTCATACAACTCTGTCCAACGACATCTCACAAACTCTATACCCTCAATATATTTTTCTATGTCCTCTTTGAAAACATTTGTATAGTTAAGATATAAAACTTTTGACATAAGTGTTTCAATGTCATGAACTCTTATAGAACCACTATATAATAGTCTAGCAGATATACTATCCCAGTCTATATATTCTGCTTTTTTCAAAACCTCTCTCACAATATTTTTCTTATCTAATGGTATACGTTCCATCTTACCTATAGGTATCTTTTCTTTTAACTCTTTCAATATATTGTTTGTGTCTGGAATATGTTTGAGACGGTCCATATAGTTGTCGAAGTCATTGCATATAATCTTTGAGTCTGGGAATATTGTATGGCACAAATGGGATATATAGAAACTTCCACCGAACAAATCTACAAATGTTAGACCATTCGGTAGTTTCTTAAGTTCTCTCAATATAATATCTTTACATTTACTCTTATTTCCAAAGAACGGTAACGGTGGTTTTGTAAAATTCATTTATATATAATAATAAAAATGTTTTTTCCTGAAAAGTGACAGAAAAGTGACAAAACATGAAAACATATATAATTTGTGAAAAGCGACACATTATATAATGTTTTCGACCCAGAAGACTAACAATTTTCCGAATATAAACTTCATTTATACTAAACATCTTCGGGGCTAGAGGGCGCAACGCGCCTGGAAGCCCTCCGAATATAAACTTCATTTATACTAAACATCTTCAGGGCTAGAGGGCGCAACGCGCCTGGAAGCCCCACTACCTTTTTTTTTTTTTTTTTAGGGTTGTTAGATTCCCGACGATAGGTGTCTTGGAAGATTTGCCTGGTGTCATCATAGTGTCTTTAAATCAAAAATTTTATTTTGGAGTTAGTTTTATTGATTTTTCAATAAAAAACATTTCTAAAACAAGAAAATAAAACGATAAAATATTTATATTTTATATAAGGATCTTATATATTTAAAATAAATATCATTTTATTTTTTTCATTGGTGTCTGTCAAACCATAATACACTATTCAAAAATTCAATGTGTCTTGCGGTTTCAAAAGACACCTTCAAATTGAACGATAGCACAGACACTATTGAATTTTACCCATTTTATTTAGTTTTTACCCTTTTTATTTTTAAGAATTAATGACTGAAACACAAGATGAATATGAATCCAAATTTGAGGGATGGATTGATTGCAAACTTCCTCCCAAAAATATCCCTCGAAAAGTACCTCCCTTACCAAAATTCGAGGATACTAAATTCTCAACTAATAATAAATGTCGAGTATGTTTCAATATTGCTTATCTTCCAGATACAAGCGAAAAATCGAAAGAACGAAAAAGACTTTATTGTTATTGTTTAGCGATACATTACAATTTACTAACAAAAACATATATGCGCTGCATTTATCATCGAAAACCATCAGAATTTGATGAAGATCATCAGCATATATATCAAATACAATGTGAAAATAATCCATATACGAGAAGAGATTTAATAAAACAAGATAGAAAATTACTTTATGTTGTAAAATTTGTTGTGGATACCAACATGTCAATCAATATGGCCGCTTCAGGTGTACTAGAAGATTTCGCCCGACATGTCTACTCCACCTTCAAGGGAGTAATCAATTTTCAACTCAAGATCCCATATAGAAGAGACGAGATAAGGGATGGAATCATTACATTAGCCGACTTGGTAGCTCCAAAAATACACGTTGAGCTTGACAAGATGGGCTACTATTCGATAACAATTGATGCGGCATCACACGGAAGCCGGCATGGCTTTTTTGTGATGGCTAGCAATCCAGCAAAAATGAAGAACCATATCTTCATTGATACTATGATCGCTGATGGTTGGAATGCCAGGGATTACAATAATTTCTTTGAATGTTTTACCTTCCCAAAGGATTTCCTTTCTGCAATTGTTGCCGATGGATGCCCCGCCCAAGTTAAAGGGCTGTGCCACTGGAGGAGATGCGGAGCACTATATCCGGGTCTTCAAACCGTTTATATCCGATGTGTTGCGCATCTCCTCAACTTAGTGGTGAAGCATACGGCAGACAATTGTGCAGCTTTCGCAATGCAAATTAATTATTGCAAAGCGATAAGCAAGGAGTTATCGAAGCCGGACACGAGAAGGGCATTGAATATGAGGGTTATTCATGTTCCGGATCATCGCTGGATGTTTTTCTGGGATCTTCTGAAGTGGATAAAAGAAAAACACCCTAAAATTTATGAATTGTTCAATATGGATGATCCACCGGAATCTGTTCAGATCTTAAGGGATATGGGAATTGATTTCAAGGATGGACTTCCACAATGGTTGTTAAATTTCGAAGAGATTCTTTTACCAATCAAGAAACTCTTGAATTATGCAGAGAGTGACGTTGGCTGCTTCTGCTACATCTATCCAATGTTTCAATCGACGATTGAGCAGTTGACCGGAATTGCAAATCGTCCTGAATTATCAAGTTCGTCAAAGCGCATTGCAGATGCATTAATCGCCAACATGAATGAAGTTTTTGACAAACAGGGCAACTACGCTTTGATGAAATTTGCCTTTGGTCTAACTCCATGGGGCCGGTCAGTCATCCGCGCAGAATTGAACATGCATACTGAGTACAAGCTAGACGTTTCACTCTTCTTCCAAGAACCAATACCTATCAATGCTGAACTTGAAATCCCTCCAAGGAGCTACACCCCTGATCATTTGGATGAAGTGGCAGAGGATCAATTGGACAGAAATCTAGATATAGAAGAGCCCGAGATTGAGAACGAAGCAATTGAAGGTGATGGCCAAGTAGATGCAGAAGACATTGCTCAGGATGAAGAAGTTGAAGAGAATGAACCAAGGAGGAGACTAGGCAGGAACCTTGGTGAATGGGCGTCTCTGTCAATGCAAGAAGTGGAAGAGTACAGCTTCAACGATTTTATGATCGAGATGCTTTCGAGACGTGCAGAAGCAGAAGCGAGGTTCTACAAGAGAAGTTCGGCCAAGAGCATAGCTAATGAGTACAAGAAAGCTCTTTCCAACTTTATACATATGAATGAGAGTGAAATCAGGAACAACACCGACCTCACCTGCTTGGATCAAAGGTTTTGGGTAGCATGTGATGCAAATTTCAAGGCATTGAAAGAGATTGCCTTAAAATTCATGTCTATTGCTGCAACCGAAGCTGATGTGGAAAGAATGATTTCAATTGTGCGGAACCTGCGTAATAGGTTTAATCAAAACGCACGTGAAGATCTAATAAAGTGTAGAATCCTATTGAAGCTTTTCATGACAAATGAAATCCTGAAAAAGATATTTCCAGATCTGACTGATCTTTAACTTGCCGTAGCCTCTTGCTGCCGTAGCTCCTTGATGCTGCTTGACCTGCCGTAGCTCCTTGATGCTGTAGCTCCATGCTGCAGCTTGACCTACTGTAGCCCCTTGATGCTGCTTGATTGTAGATGTTGGCTTTGAATGATGCCGCTTGACCTGCCGTAGCCCCTTGCTGCCGTAGTTCGTTGCTGCCGTAGCTCCTTGCTGCTGCTTGATCGTAGATGTTGCCCTTGAATGCTGCCGCTTGACCGTAGATGTTGGCTGTGAATGTTATCGCTTCAACCGCTAGCTCCTAACTGCCTCCAAACAGCCGTTTTGCTATGACCTCAATCACTTTTATTTATTATTTTAAATATTATTTAATTTTATTATTTGAATAGGCCAACTTATATTTGAGAAGCTCAATTTGAGACCACTTAATACATTGAAATATCATAAATATTGAAATATTAAAAAGTGTATTTCAAAATATTGAAATTATAAAAATTTATAATACTGAAATTGAGACAAATTAATAAATTCAATGTGTTTTTTTTTTGAAATAACTCTCAAATATTATTTTTTTGTTTATTTAATGATGAATAAATATGATTGCTTTAGTCAATCATAAAAATTAATTTAAGTTTAAAATAATGAAAGGATAATTTGATCGTTTTTTTAAAATACAATTATTTTTGATGATTTGCAAGAATCTTTGAAAAGAATATAATATAGGTTCTATTATTGTAAAATTTATCCAAATCATGTATTACATAAATTACGATTAAAACGATGAAAGAACCAAAAAGTGTGTTTTGTGTGTTGTTGCGTGTTGGATGCGGGATCCTGTTATTTCCGAAATCGACAAAAAATTTGGAAATTTAATTTCCGAAATCGAAATTATATTAATGTTTTTAATATTCTTATATCAAAAGGATTAAAGTTCATTAAGAGAAAAACAATTCTTCTTCTTCAATCTATTGGCGCATTTATTTCTACACGCCAATAAGGAAGGGAAAATTATAAGACACCATGGTGTCTTCAAAACGCTAATTTTTGATATTTTTAACAACCCTATGCAGGGATTTTAAAAAATTCTTTTTAGTAAAACTTAAGGATATTGTATCAGATATATTGGTATGGGCAAATTCAATTTTAATCCAATATTCATCGAGATATTAAGTTAACGAAGCTTTCAAAATTGAGAGGGTAATCCTCCTCCTCTCAAATAAACGTACATGCGGGTGCACCCTTAATGAAAAAAATAGAATTAAAATATTAGCGAAGTCATTGATTCACCGATTCCATGAAGATGAATAAGCTTCGAAATCATTTTATTAAGATTTTCAATTTTATTTCCTGTTGGACAGAGTTCTGTAGAATAAAGATGAAGTTCAATTGAAATATCTTTATTTGGTCCAATTGAAACTCGTTGACCTACTTTGTATAATTTTTCTTGTGTATCAATATATGAATTAGAGACTGTAATTGTATAACCTGAGTCATAAATATAAATTCCAAACAAATAACAATCATTTCGTTTGTTACTTGCAATGAAACAGTTTTCAAATGTAGCAGAACAACTCGAACAATGAAACATTCCAGGCCAAGCACTTTCATCTGCAGAAACAGTGTTGTTTGTGAAAACAATGCCGTTATATGTTGCTGGTTTCTGATATACAGCGCAAATTCTGGATGTTGCATGGTTTTCATCAATATTCGAATATTTGATTGAACAAGTGCCTTCACCATATGATATTGAAAATGCTGTATTATATCCGCAATAGTTTCTCGTGATATTGTTTTGAAAAAAAATTTATTGCCATATTCTAAAGAAATTGTTTGATATCCGTTTAAATTTCCTTGATTACTATATGTGATAGACGAATCTTGGATTTCATTAATATTAGTAGAAGCATCCGAAACGGAAATATAACAGAACTTTCCTAGGCCGGTAGATTTGGATCCAAAACTACAAACTTTTCGAATGGAACTTTGGCCTTGATTGATGTAGATGGACCCACCAACATCGTTACGAGATGAGTTTTCGAATGAATTTGATGAAATAAGAGACTTAACATCGTCAGAATTAAGGTTGATAACACCGTCGTCGCCAAGGTTACTGAAATAGACTTCATGGACATAAAAGTTGCCTGTGTAACCTATGTATGTTTGATTTTTATTGTAGATTTCAGAACTAAACGTAGTTTTGTAGACTTCTTCCCATTCATTCTTCGTGAAATGGAGCAAATTCGAGATATGTGATGCTCTTTTTCTATCATGTTACTCCGATTGAAATAAATATTTGATAAAAGAGAGATTTTGAAAGTTTGAAACTTTTATAAAATATTAAATTTTGGGGAAATTGTAATGCATGAAAATTCGGTTCAATTCATTTTTGACACTTTACATATCGGATGTATTATCTAAGAATTATATTATAAAATAATAATTTTGTGTTTTATAAGTTTATTTGTATAAATTGATTCAAAAAAAATGGAAAGACAAGAAGTGGATCTGCCAAATGAAAATCAGATTTATATTACGGCATATCTTGAATATTCTATTGGCAAAAAGACAGCAGACCAAGTTGCAAAAGATTTTAAAATATGATGTATGAATAAGAGTATGATTGGTATAGATTTGGGTTGTATAAATGTGATTGAACAATTGTTAATGGAAAGTTCAAAAACTTGGGTGCAATCAGTTCTGATTGCACCCAAGTTTTTGAACTTTGTATAAGGAATTGTTGGCTATGATGTACTGATCATGAATCAGTACATCATAGCCAACAATTCCTTCCCAAACAACCCGAAATTTGTCTGATTCCACACTAATTTTATTAATTTATCTAAACTTTTATCCTCGTCTACAATTTAATCATCAATAATTATTTCTTGTTCTATTTCACTATTATATATATATATTTATATGATTTGATTTAAAAAAAATAAATAAATAAATTAATAAATCATTTACTCAAATATATCAAAAGTTTTATTTTTATATATAAAGATAACTACTTTTAAAAAAACCTTATATATTTTTGCCATGTAAACTATTTTTGCCATGTAAACTTGTCACTTTTGTCAAAAGTGAAGTGAACCGAATTTTCATGCACAACAAAATTTTGGGGAAATAAATAATTTTTATTGGGTCCAAAATTTTACAAAATTTTCATAATTCTCTCTGAGTCACAAGAATAGTATTAAACTTAATCACTATTTCATTTCTATAGTATCGTTACATCTGTATATCTTTTAATAATCAGAAATCGTTTAAACAATGAATTATCGAAAGAATACAAACATTGACAAAGCCACATCTGATTTTTACAAACTATTATTACATGACTAAGCTTATCAATTTTGAATATATAAAAATCAGTCAACCTGTTTAAAAAACTTCGAAAATTAAGTATAAAAGATTCTTTTCTTCAAGTTAAAGACATTTTGTCATTAGATACTCAGTATTATAATGCGTGTATCTCAATTGTAACACACTGCATAGAAAATCAAATATATTCACCAGTAATTTTCGAGTTTTTAATAAACGTGTTCAACAGTTCATCAGATCTTGAATTAAAAGTCAATATATCGAGCACATTATCCGATATTTTAATCAAAACAAAAATTTGTGACGAAAACTTAACAACTTTTTACAAAGAGTGCTTACAACAAGAAATAATAATGAAACCCTTCCAATATTGAACGCATTATTACCATGTACAATCACTTTGCATGTTTAAATGAGACTCTTTCAACCTTTTACAGAATCACTTTTCTTTCGTTGCCTAAATGTGTCCTCTTCCTCATATCGAATACAACTGCGTTACACTTTCTTCATTCTCACAACATTTGGCTTTAGAATTAAAGTGTTTACTTTTTCTTGAAGACTTTCTCAGTCAGAACTACTAATAATAAGAATAAGAATATCTTTATCAATAATTTACAGATTGTTACTTCATCATTGATTCCGAAGTTCATGTCCTTTCATGCATCAGCCACTGTTTACTTGATTACGACAAAATCGAAACATTTTCTCATTATTTTATTTCATACATTGAATTCATTAACTACGAAGATTCTATTTGTTCATTATTTGTTAACATTTTAATCAATTATTCCTTTGTTTCAAACATCAGTTTATGTTTTCAAAGAGATTTATCTTTCATAGTTACATTAAATATTCATCACTTTTCATTCTTACTTTCATCCTTAGTCATTACAACCAATATGTTTTTTGACTGTTCTATTCCACAATCTAACGAATTTTCTCTTTCTCAGTAGTTCAAGTACTTGATTGAGTACGAGTCCGATTTTTCACCAACTATTGTTTCAGAGTCACTTGACTACGATTACTCATTCATTTTTTATTTTAATTTTTTTTACACACTTTCACATATTGAACTTTTCTTTCGAGATTCTACTATTTTATCAGTTATTTCTATGATCAACGTTGTTTGTGACAACATCAACAACGAATTCATTACCGACATTCTTTTCCTTCTTGTCAAACTTTCTCCACATAGTTTTGTAGATGTTTTAGATTATTTTTTTTATCTACACTTGTTTGTCTTTTAAAACAATTTTACATTAATCACACATTGTATTGTATCATTTTTTCATGTTTTGTATCATTGTCTAAATTTCCATAATTCCACAGTTTTGTTGTTAGCCTAGTTTGTCCAGTTGTTTTTAGTCTTCTTTCAGACTCTACATCAGTCTTCTGTGGTATTGACATTTGTGTTTCATTACTTACAAACAAGAACTCACTTGATCAACTTGAAAACATCAAAGAATGTGTTTCATCTATTTTCAACATTTTCTTCAGTGCACTTGAAAGTATCGAACTTGACAAGTATCTTTGTGAGAATATCTATAAGCTCATGTTTTTCTTCCATAAATTTATTTGTATCGACGAAGTTTATTATACATGTCTTTGTTAGTTAAGTCACATGGATCCACTTTTTTTCAATCACTTTTGTTCTGTTTTAGTTGTTTTTATTTCAACACGTTGTTTTTATGCAGCAATTGACATCTTCAACATTCTTTCAGAACGTCTTCATCGTGAACATTCTAACATCCTTTTACAAATTCCAAGTTGTCTTTTCTCGGTTAGATCTCTCACTTTGAACGACAGAGACTCAGTTTTATCTCATCTTTCAAGTCTTATTCCAGATCTTTTGAATCTTTTCATCAATAAATCTCTTTCATCTAACTTCATCTGATCATTTGACTTCAAACATATGTGTTTTTGTCTTTTTATTTTCCACGACATTGATCTCAAACATGAAAAGATTTTCAAAGTTCTCACTCAAAAAAAAATAATAGAATTATAAAAATATCGAAGTCATTGATTCACCTATTGTTTTAAGATGAATAAGCTTCGAAATCATTTTATTAAGATTTTTAATTTTATTTCCTATTGGACAGAGTTCTGTCGAATGAAGATGAAGTTCAATTGAAATGTCTTTATTTTGTCCAATTGAAACTTGTTGACCTTCTGGAAATAATTTTTCTTGTGTATCAATATATGAATTAGAGACTGTAATTGTATATCCTGAACGATAATAATCATAGATTCCAAACAAATAGCATCCATTCCGTTTGTTAGTTGCAATGAAACAGTTTTCAAATGTAGCAGAACACTTCCAACAATGAAACATTCCAGGATAATCACTATCATCTTCAGAAACAGTGTTGTTTGTGAAAACAATGCTGTTATATGTTGTTGGTTTGGATTGTGCATTGCAAATTCTGGATGTTGCATAGTTTTCATCAATATTCGAATATTTGATTGAAATAGTGCCTTCGCCATCTCCTATTCCAAAAGCCGCATTATATCCGCAATAGTTTCTCGTGATATTGTTTTGGGAAAATGAAATATTGCCATTTCCTAAATCAATTGTTTGATATCCATCTAAATTTCCTTGATTACTATATGTTATAGAAGAATCTTGGATTTCATTGATATTAGTAGAAGCATCTGAAACTTCAATAAAACAGAACTTTCCAGTTTTGGTAGATTTGGATCCAAAACTACAAACTTTTCGAATGGAACTTTGGCCTTCTTTGATGTAGATGGAGCCGCCGTTATCGTTGCGGGATGAGTTTTCGAATGAATTTGATGAAATAAGAGACTTAACATCGGCAGAATTAAGGTTGATAACACCGTCGTCGCCAAGGTTACTGAAATAGACTTCACGGACATAAAAGTTGCCTGTGTAACCTATGTATGTTTGATTTTTATTGTAGATTTCAGAACTAAACGTAGTTTTGTAGACTTCTTCCCATTCATTCTTCGTGAAATGGAGCAAATTCGAGATATGTGATGCTCTTTTTCTATCATGTTACTCCGAATGAAATAAATATTTGATAAAAGAGAGATTTTGAAAGTTTGAAACTTTTATTAAAATAATAAATTTGGGGGGAATAAACTATTTTTATTGGGTCTGGATTTCATTATTCTCTCTGAGATACAAGTCTAATATTAAATTCAATCACTGTTTCATTTCTATAGTGTCACTGCATCTGTACCTCTTTCAATAAAAAGAAATCGTAGCAGAAGAGTCTTGACAAAACATTTTACGAAGAAGTCTTGACAAAACATTTAAAAAAAAAAAAAAGGTAGTGGGGCTTCCAGGCACTTCGTGCCTTCTAGCCCTGATGATGTTTAATATTAATGAAGTTTTTTATTCGGAAAATTGTTAGTCTTCTGGGTCGAAAACATTATATATAATGTGTCGCTTTTCACAAATTATATATGTTTTCATGTTTTGTCAAGACTTCTTCGTAAATGTTTTGTCAAGACTTCTTCGTAAATGTTTTGTCAAGACTTCTTCGTAAATGTTTTGTCAAGACTTCTTCGTAAATGTTTTGTCAAGACTTCTTCGTAAATGTTTTGTCAAGACTTCTTCGTAAATGTTTTGTCAAGACTTCTTCGTAAATGTTTTGTCAAACATGAACGTAAATGTTTTGTCAAGACTTCATCGTAATGAGTGTAAATGACCAAAAATAATGTTTAGGGTAGAAGGTTAGATCTAACCTCTTTTCTAACCTCTTTTCTACCCTCTTGAATTTGTCAAGATTTCTTCGTAAATGTTTTGTCAAGACTTCTTCGTAAATGTTTTTGTCAAGACTTCTTCGTAAAATCAGACAAAAATAATGTTTAGGGTAGAAGGTTAGATCTAACCTCTTTTCTAACCTCTTTTCTACCCTCTTGAATTTGTCAAGATTTCATCGTAAATGTTTTGTCAAGACTTCTTCGTAAAAATGTTTTGTCAAGACTTCTTCGTAAATGTTTTGTCAAACATGAACGTACATGTTTTGTCACTTTTCTGTCACTTTTCAGGAAAAAACATTTTTATATATATATAAATGAATTTTACAAAACCACCGTTACCGTTCTTTGGAAATAAGAGTAAATGTAAAGATATTATATTGAGAGAACTTAAGAAACTACCGAATGGTCTAACATTTGTAGATTTGTTCGGTGGAAGTTTCTATATATCCCATTTGTGCCATATAATATTCCCAGACTCAAAGATTATATGCAATGACTTCGACAACTATATGGACCGTCTCAAACATATTCCAGACACAAACAATATATTGAAAGAGTTAAAAGAAAAGATACCTATAGGTAAGATGGAACGTATACCATTAGATAACAAAAATATTGTGAGAGAGGTTTTGAAAAAAGCAGAATATATAGACTGGAATAGTATATCTGCTAGACTATTATATAGTGGTGCTATAAGAGTTCATGACATTGAAACACTTATGTCAAAAGTTTTATATCTTAACTATACAAATGTTTTCAAAGAGGACATAGAAAAATATATTGAGGGTATAGAGTTTGTGAGATGTCATTGGACAGAGTTGTATGAAAAATATAAAGACAAGGAAAATGTTTTCTTTATAGTGGACCCGCCGTTCTATAACACATGGGATTTTCAATACCAAGTAGACTGGACTTTGAGAGACTCTTTAGAAACTTTAGACGTTTTACATAACTGTCCATGCTTTTACTTTACATCCGATAAAAGTGGTTTGGAAACCGTTATGAGATGGTTAGAGGACATACATGACTATGAGTTTAGATATGACAAGATAGAATATGAGAGAGGTCCTATAAACCGGAGAAAGTGTCACAATAAAGAAATTTTATTAGTAAGTAAATGTGGTTTGAAATAGGACTACTTGTTTTAGGTTTTTTCCATTGTGTCATTTATTTCTTTGACGTGGCAGAAAAGTACAGAGAATATGAAGATGAACCAATGCCTGCAAATGTTCAGTATATGTACTCGTAAGAGATATTTTTATCTAATATTAAATGGACGCACAGAACTTAGCGAATGCACAGCAACCTGGACAACCAAACCCAGAGAATATTCCAAATGAAGTTAGAATACAAACTGCAATGGCAAACTATGGTCAAGTGCCAACAGATGTACAAATGCAAACTGCCATGTCAAATGACGCTGCGTTAGGTTTGCCACCATGGTATGCAAATATGAGATGGAAAGAGTTTTATACAAACCCTGAAGTGGGATATAAACAACTTTATGCAGATGACGCGAACACAGGAGTTGACCCAGAATATGTTTTCTACCAGAGGAGAAACAGAATGTATGAGCTCCAGTTAAAGAATGCTATGGAACTCAACAGGAAACGTAAGAGACTAGGCGGACATTAGATTTTTACATATAGTAAAATGGGTTTCTTCAGTAGTATTGGAAACTTCTTTCGAAATGTTGGAAGAGGTATATGGAATGGAATAAAAACCGTAGGAAGAGGAATTTGGAACGGTGTCAAAAATATTGGTAAAAGAGTAGGTCAGTTTGTTGGTATTATACCTAAAGACCCTGAACCAGAAGAACAAGCTCCTGTTATACAACAGCCTGAACCTGCACCACAGTCTAGTTGGCAACCAAATCCAACACCTCAACCGTATTAAAAAATTATATTTTTACCGTTCGATAGTAGTTGTATATGAAACTAAGTTCTAAGTAAAACGCATGGTATAATGGAATTATTCTTTTTCTTCCATCTGTAGTAAACCATACTTGAAAGTCTGAAATACTTCCACTTGGTGGTTCGTATAACTTTGTAGGTTTTTCGTAAAAGTCATTCATCAGACATAAGAAAGAGTTTTGGGCGCCAGAAAATGAAGCATGAACAATAATAGCATCTGGGTCGAAAACATTTTCATATGTTCCATTAGGGTTTTCGACTTCATAAAAGTCTGGGTGTACTGGATATGCTGCAGGCTGATTTAACATCCTCATAAATCTATACCATGCAAGTTGTTATATTTTGTAGAAATATAAACGTTTTCTCCAAGGTCTTCTATTCTATTGATTTTAACAGTTGCATTTTTCCTGTCATAAATAATATCGAGATGGTACTCTCCCTCGTCAATGTTATACTGTTTTGCATATTCGAGATAGATATCGTTTATTTTTTCTTGAAAAGCTTGAAGAGTTGTTTCTAAGTTTACAAGCAAACTAACTTGTAAAAGTTTTCCCTGTTCAAATTTCTCATACATACGTTTTTCTTTGTTATAGTATCGAACTTCAAAACCGACCGTAAATGGGAAACCATGTATGGCTTCTGAAATGAACTTCATTCTACGAAAGCCAATAGCTTTTGTGACAGATGGGTCTCTTAGCCATCTTAATGGGTAGTCAAAACGATAGCCTTCATGCTTTACGGTCTCTGTCTCAAACTTTTGACCGACATTAGTAAAAAGTTCATCTAATGGTTTAGTTGTAGCAACTCTTGAATTTTCTTTTTCTATTGGAAGCATATTTTATCTAGAATAAAAATGTCGAAAGATATTGCTTCCATGAGAGAAATACAACACAACCGACAACTCATTGTGCAAGCTCTAAATAAGAACACAACAAACTTTTCAAACTATTCTAAGATATCTGAGTCATTGAAAGAAGGAAACTTAAAACTGACATTAAACCCAATGACAGATGAGTTTCTGTTTCAAGACAAGAAGAACAATACTGTCTGTATAAATCCAACAAAAGGAACTTTAAACGAGAAACCTATAAATGAACTTCTTTTGAAAGCAGATGTTGACAACAAAGCTGACAAAGAATATGTAGACGATGCAATAGCAAAAGAAGAAGAAAGAGCTAACAATGCTTATGCAACAAAAGAACATACTCATCCTGAACTAGCAGACAAAACATATGTTGACAATAAAATGTCAAGTGAAGTGACGAGAGCTGAAAACGAATATTCTAAAAAGACTCATACACATTCTATATCTGAAATAACAGACTTAAACGTTAGCCTTGAAAATAAGGTAGATAAGGGACTTATGGCTAGTGTGTTAGTGAAGAAGGCGGATAAGGAATATGTGGATGAAAAAGATAACGAAATGAAAGAAAGGGTTGACTGGTACCATGAATGGACATCGAAGATTTTAAAAACTAAAGCCGATACAGGATGGGTTTCAGGATGTTTAGACCTTAAAGCAGATAAAACTTATGTTAACGATGAGTTAGAGAAGAAAGCAGACAAGAACCATACACATACAAGTTTTACAACTGTTGCTATAGAAAGTATTGAAGGAACGGTTGAAGAAACTGGTGGGGATGCAATATATTGTAAACCTCCTAACTTTCCACAAGGTTTAACATCGGATGACGACATAACGACGATGAGAAACATTAGATGTAAAGATGTTTATGTCATGAAGGATGAACATAATATTAAATTCACTGCTCAAGATTTATATGACAAGAAAGCAGACAAAACAGAGCTTCAAACATTAAAGACAGAAATACTTCAAACATTATATCCTATAGGCTCTATTTATACGTCAATGAACTCTACCAGACCAGAAACAGTTCTGGGTTTTGGAACTTGGACTCAAATAGTCGACAGGTTTTTGTATTGTGCAAACTCTTCAAAGGAAACAGGTGGAAGTAAAACGATTTCAGGTGAAAATTTACCTGCGCACAGTCACTACATAGATTTAAGTACATCTCAAGCAGGTTGGCATAAGCATAGATATTGGGATTGGTCAGCAATGACAAAAGGTAAAGGATATGATGTTAAAGACAACGTTAAGTTTGCTATAGATTGTTACTGGAGTAACACTGAGGGAGGAGGAAACCATACACATCGCGTTACAGGATATACGCAAACAACGGGACAAAGTAAAGACTACATGCCACCTTACATGACAGTTTACGCATGGTATAGAAATGCTTAGTCGTCATTTTCAACTTCTTTAGCATATTCGTCAGGAGTTGTCTTATATTTGTTAGGAACTGTCTTTGAAAGTATACACCTTGAACTTTGACAAGTTTGAAACGAGGTCTGACAATAGTAGTTTTATCTTCTGCTTGCAGTGTGTACATTTTGCCATGTTTGCCTAAAACTTCATAATATTCTCTTGTATACTTTCTTCTATTTTTACGAACACGAATGTGAGTACCTGTCGGGTTCCCATTGTTGTCATAGTCAATAGTATTTTCATATGGGTCGCGTTTAGGTATTTTATTTTTACTTTGTCACCTTTCTTAAGTTTGAAGCCCGGCATTCTTTCTTGTTTGTCTCTTTTGACTAAATTATTAAATATATAGTCTTTCTCTAAGTCAGGGTTGTTTTTCATTTCTTCGGGGGAGTGGTTTCCCAAACCTTTTGTTTACGGTTATTGTAAATATTTAAAACTTGTCTCATCTTTGCCATGGAGAAGTGTCTATATTTGTCGTCATATGACATTTCATTTGCTTCACCACCTTGTGGTTGGTTTAAGTCTCTTAACATTTTTTACAACCGTCAATGACACCAAGAGCAGAATGGTTTTGGTCGACAATGAAATATTGGTTTACATTTTTTGAACGCAGATAGTTTTTTACATCATCTGATTTGAAAGAACTTTCACAGTCAGATGTCAGTTTTGTTGGATGGTATTTGTCAACGAATATTGTCAAAGCAGTTTTCACATCTAAAATATTTTTGGACCATAATGGTATGGCTTCACAGTATCTTGTGTTTTGACCGACAAATATTAGCCAGTATGGTGGTCCATCTTCTCTATACCTCGGAATGTTTTCCAAGATATCCATAAACCAAGCATTTGGTGTTGAACTAAAGATTTTTACCATGAGTGCTTTCTTTGTCGCTTTAGAAACATAGGGGTCCTTGTTCGGATTCGTCATTTTTTAACCCATAAGAAATGGGTTTATTTGGCGCATTAGCAGGAGTTGCATCCAGATTTTTGCCCGCAGTGGGAACAATAGCCAGAGGTGTATTTGGGGTTGGAAGGAAGATTTTGAGTACATTAGGTATACTTAAAGAGAAAGCACAACCTATTATACAAACTGTACAGAAAGGTTGGGATGTAGCACGAGATGCAACAAATCTTATTCCAAATCCTGAAACAAGAGGAAAAGTTCAAGGATGGATGGACAATGTAGGAAGACAAGCAGGAAACTATTATAAAAAGCAAATGACTACTATAACCAAGCAGGACACTATATGGACCAAGGTGAAAGATTCTTTAAAGAGGATATAACCATGCACAACAGTGGGTAAACAATAACCAACCTCAACCGCCTCAAACGTGGGGAATGTAAAGTTTTTTACTGAGATGAAATGAACAATACAGCATTGAGACAAATGGGTTCAAGATGGATTTGTCGACTTCCAGCAGTTACACAACGTGTTTGTCAAGTTCTTCCTATACCTCAGGAAGTTTTAGACCGACTTAAAAAACCTAAACAACCAGTTGAAAACAAACCAAACTAAATTTTTTTACTGAGATGAAATGACCGAAGAAGTTGAAACGGTAGATTTGACACCACAAACAAAAAGTTCAGAACCATTGTCAAAACCTGTCAAAGAACTTACAGATGAAGAGAAAAATTCAATAATAGAAAGTGCCAGGTCTGGAAATACAAACCCTAACTATAAAGTCACTTTTCATAGAAATGGAACGGCTAGTATCTCAAAAAGAAACAGACTCTCACAAATAAAATATTGAAGTCTGAAGGAGCTTTCGAGACAACAGATGGAAAAGTTTACTTCACTGACCAACAGTTCATTATAGAACATCTCATTGACTTAGAGTCGAAATATTCTAAACTTTACAACAAACACAAAAAGTTGAAAGGAAAACAAAACAAATGGCATATGATATTTATGAAGATGTTGACGACACAACTGTTCCTGCAGGTGGGGAAAAATCAGAGGAACCGAAAAGTGACGAAAAACCGATAGAAGAAGAGAAACCAAAAACTGAAGATAAACCAAAACCAAAGTTTAGTTTCCAAACTAAACCAAGTCAACCTTCATTAGCTGGTATGGGTTGGCGTCAAAGACTTATGGCAGCAGGTGGTTATGTTAAGTAAAGAAAAAAAATATTTTTTTATTTTTATAAAAATGCCCCCATATAGAATGGATAGAAAGTCTGCTAGAATAAAAGCAGAGTCTGCTAGAATAAAAGCAGAGTTGGGAAACTTGTTTGTTAGATGAGAAATATGAAATGGCATACCATTTTAAAACAATATATTTTTACATATATTAAATGCTTCAGGTTGAAAAACAAAGAACAAAAGTAGCAGATACAAAACCGTTAGACTATATCTTTACAAATGCTGGTAGGACTATTTCAGATGAAGAAATTTCATCCCGAATATACAGGTTTGACTATCCAATTCGTTGGCTTCAAAGTCCTTCAGATGCAAAGGCAATAGGATTTAGAAGAGTTTTGTTTTCAAATAGAACTAACGCATTTATGTTCGCAGTATATTTTCATGGGCAGTATAAAGGTTCTGATGGTCTAATAGACAAATTTGACGAAATGAGAATCTTTACAGTTCGTTCAGACGAAAGTCTTGAGAAAACTCTAAATGACTTTCAAACTCAAATGAACAAATATTATTGGGAATTTCAAGAAAAATACGACTCTTTACTAAATGGAACATACTATCTGAAACTAGAATATGACAAGATGAACTCCACCGTTTCATTTCAAAAGATTGAAATTAACCCTCCAAGAGATACAGAGTTTTTATTTTGGGGAGTAGACAAACGTTCTTGGGCACAATTTCTTCGGTTACTAAACCAGAACGAACCATTACCACCAGATGGTCCATTTAAATTTATACTTCCACCAGCAGATTTGACAGTTTATAGAAACGTGTTTGACCCTCAAAATGTTTATGTGTCATGCAAGTTTCAGTTCAAGCAACAATAGTTTTCTATGTATTGGTAAGGACTTTTATGACTTTGCTTCTAAATTCTACGAACCACCTAG